GTACCGGGCCTGACCTTTTTTCGTCATCGGTGCGTCCCTGTGCTCCACCATCTTCGAAAGGAGAGCGCACCAATGAAATAGCTGGAGTTGTAGGCCCGGTCACGCCCATAACACGAGCGGGAAAGGTTGAGGACACCATCCTGTCACACTGCGAGCATTTGTTGTCAACCCACAGGTCTACCTGTTTCAGAACTGATTGTCGTAATCGCTGTGCCATGCTTTTGCATGACAGTGATCTGCACTGTATGCGCCATTGCTTGCTATAAACGAGCCAAATACACCGCACAACAATGGAGACGTTTCTGGCAAACACAGTCCGAACACACTCCTCATGATACGTGAGTTTTAGCTTGAAAACGCACTACACGCTATGGGAGTGGGCGGGGCCAGAACTCCGACTGCGCCTTCTTGCACCCATAAGGCAAGTGAGCAAATGTGCTTTTAATCATAGCTGGTGCATTTCAGAACACTGACGTATAGTTTATCACATCTACCACATCCAAGCAGTTTAGCGGTGGCCAGTCATTACTTAGACATCAAGATGTTGGCTGAAGCTAGCAGGTAAACTTAAAAGTAAGCCGCTTCCGGGGAAGGCCCTCGCCACGTGCAACGGTCGTCAGCTGAGTATCGTGCCACATTCTCCGCTCCAAAGTGCACAGGAACGGGTTTGGAGGGTAGGGATAACCGGGTGCCTTCCGATCTATCTCGACTCCATCCGATCTATCCTCAATGTGCAGCACTTGTGTCGATACTGGAAACTCACCGAACACGCAGTCAGAGGTGGAAAACAACGAGAAGTGAGAGGACGCAGACAAGCAGCGCGTTTGGCTATGGTCAGGTGTGCGGCTGGCTGTGCGGCAGCGCGGGAGGAGTCTCAAACGGCACCCGGATGTTACTACAGCCATTATCACTGAAGTCAGTGGGCATGTCAACGGGTCTGAGGATTGGCGCGGCGCCAGCCTGTTCTCGATCGATTATTGCGGTTTCGGTCGTTCAATTGGTAGTTGAAAAGGGACTAATACCCAAGCGCCACCAACACGCTCCGACTGACTTCATTAAAACGGCAAAGTCCTCAAGCGCCGTTCGCGTGCACTTTGAGCGGAGAAGGTGGCACGCTACTGCAGCCGCGGACCTATCCACCGTGCACACCGTGCACATGGCTAGGTACAGGATCCACCGGAGGCGAGTGTACAGTTC